GGTCAGGTACTCCAGCATGCCGAGGCTCCTCGGTTAGGGGCCGCGTAACACAGGCAGGCCAGTCTGACCACTCTGTAGGAGAGTCATTTGGAATTGGCTTAAAGGAGTTTAGAACCTGACTGTGATTGTGGTTATTGTTTTGGTCTGACATGAGATTTATGAATTTTTGTTTAATGAGAATAAGCATACTGATCTTGTTTGAGTTTTAAATGCTCTGGTAAGTCTGAATTAGTCTTTTTTCATTGTCCAGGGTTATAAATAACTGAAGGTTTATGCAGACAGTGGGAAGAGTAATGCTTCCCAGAGTCAGGTACATCCTGGTTTCAAACACTCCTGAATTCTAATCCCAACTCTACTTCTTACTATGGGGCACTCGGAAAGTTCTGAATCTCGCTGATCCCGTTTCCTAAGGGTACAACCAGGATAACAGCCCCTACTCACGGAGTACTGTACAAACGAGAAACATCATACATTTTCTATACCCTAGGGTTGACGCTTGCTCGATGAACAACGGCTGTCATTTTGTTACAGCTGAAAGTAGGAACACTTAATACGTGTCGTTATTTCAAGACCACGTTCTAGCAGTGTCTCCTCCTCCTGCCTCACGTGTGTGAAGGTCTTTACGAGGTGGTGCATCTGAGAACACGGCTCAGGGCGAGCGCCCTGACAATCTGGGTCAATCCCTTCAGAACCGAGCGTCTCCCGCGGCTGAGGGCCGCTCCAGGGGTCACCACGGCTGGTCCGGGCAGTTGCTTCAGCCCCTTATCCTGTAGAAAAGGGCAGTGGGGTTCTAAAAAGAGCTCTTTAAGGATTAATTTAAATTTCATTTGCTTCTTCTAGTTATTTTAGAGAACCGTAATTTGAAGATCAGGGCAATTTAATACAATGCACCAGAATTTAGACTTTTGCTTGTTTGTTTAGGATCTGCTATAAGGCGTGTGTGCTCACAGAACAGAGACAGAGACAGAGAGAGAAACAGGGAAAGTGAGAAATCACCCGCAGGGGGATGGCCACATCACAATCCTCTCTCTTCCATTCTCCCCTCGGGATTTCAGGCATACACGTGCCTGGTGTGAATTTCAAGCCACTGGGTCTCGGACTCGAACCGTGGTAACCTCCGCCCCCTGCGGGCCCCCAGAGAGCATTCTGAATATGGCGGTTATGTAACAGATACGGCAGTGAGTTATCACAAACTGTAAAAATAAAGATCTGCATGCATACTGTTAAAAACAAAAAAAAGTCGAGCTATGAACAAGGCGATGACCTCTGGGGGTCTTCTAACGAGTGTTCCCGCAGGGGTGGTCCGAGACCTGGCAGCCCATGTTCTGGCTGGTGACCTGCACTTTGAAGAGCGCACATGCAGAGCTTGTAGCGCACCCAGTCGCCGCCGGCCGGCTGGTCTGCGGAGGAGCGCGGCAGGCGCGTGGGGCTCACCGTCACCGTCCCGTTGAGGATGATGCTGTGTTCCTGGGGGGAGAGCGACAGCATGATGGGTCTCCAGGAGTGCATATGGGATGAGGTGAACAGCCTACTGGGAGCAGCTGGAACAGTAAGGTCATGTCGAAACAGCAGTGACAACGAAATACTGAACCGTGTCGAGATTCGCCCAGCCACTGCTTGGCTAATTCAGACCATAATGTATGTCGATAAACGTCAACATTATTGTCTTTCTCTCTCTCTTTTATAAGGTGTTTGCCATAGGGCACACACGCTTGCCTGAGAGGAGCCAGACGGAGACAGTGAGAGGGAAAGTGAGAAATCACTCTCTGAGAGACACGGCCATGCGGCAGTCTCTCCTCTTCCACTCTCCGGATTTGGGGGATTTGGGGAACACATGCATGTGTGCCCAGTGTGATTTTCAAGCTGCTCGGTCTGGGGTTCAAACCATGGTCAGCCATGTGGGGAGTCCAGTGCCCTAACCACCACACTACCTGCTGGGCCCCAGTAATTATTTCTCAATTACTAGTTAAAATTACGTCAAAATTCCTAAATGCATAAGAGAATTAGAACAAAGCTAGATGAGTGAGAAGAAAAAGACCTGCCCTAGGTGGGATTCATGCTCATTGCCAACGCTTCTGCAAAACCACAGATGAAGACTGAGATCATGCAGCCCTCAAGACCAGGTACTCAAAGCAGACTGTCTGGAGGGGCCTGTCTTAAGCCGGCTGTTCCAAGAGCAGCCTTGCACTGCGGGCCCTTAAAACCCTTGCTGTTCGGAACTCCGAAACCGTTGCCTCCTTTCCTCCCTCCCTCTCCCCTTTCCTTTCCTCAGGCTCACTTAGTGCTTGCTGTGTACCAGGCACAGCCATAAATGGCGCCCAGTTCTGCAGAGCTGCTATCTTAGAGGTGGGAACAGGTAATAAACAAGGGGGCGGAGGAGGAGGAGGCGCACAGGCCTAGCTGGGAGGGAGGAGTAGGGACGCAGAGTGACCGCAGTGGCTGGGGGGCCGGGGAGGCCTCTGGTAAGGTCACGTTCCCCCAGAACCTGCAGGAAGTGAGGGAGTGGGCTGTGCGAGTGCCCAGGGAAGGGCCGCAGGTGAGGAGGTGAAGATGCACCTGGAGTTCTAGGGACGTGCGGGAGACCGGTGCTGATGAGGCAGAGGGGAGGGCACAGGAGGTGCGAAACGAAACAGCTAGGACCAGACATGGAAGGCCTGGGAATGGACTTTATTCTGAATTAGATGGGAAGCCATTTGGGGGGTTTGAATGGAGATATGACATGATTTCTTTTCTTTATTTTTTTTTAGAGGCTTTTTGCCTTAGGACGTGTGTGTTCATGGGAGAGAGACAGACGGTGAGAGGGAAAGTGAGAAATCATCTTCCCAGGGGGGTGGCCACTCAATCCCTTCTCCATTCTCCTGTGATCTTGGGTACACATACACACACACCTGGCATGATTTTCAAGCCACCAGGTCTGGGACTAGAACCGTGGTCGGCCATGTGGGAATCCAGTGACATAACTACTATGCCCTCCAGAGACCCCGCTATTATCTCTTTATCCTTAGATTTTTGCTATAGGGCATGTGCGCTTACCAGAGAGACAAAGAGAGAGAAAACAAGAAATCACCCCCAGGAGGGATGGCCACGCCACAATCCCTTCTTCTCCGTTCTCCTCTTGGGATCTTGGGCACGCACGCACATGTGCTAGCCTGAGTTTTAAGCTGTCAGGTCTGGGACTCGAACCGCTGTTGATTACATAGGATGGGAGCCCCGAAACATAACCATTATGCCATCTGCTGGTCCCCCGACATGATCTTTTTAAAAGGGTCATGCTGGCTGCTGAGTAAAGTCACTGTGGGGTGAAAGGACGGAAGGGAGACCAGCTGGGAGGCTGTTCCAGCAGTCCAGGCAGGAAGCGAGGGCGGCTCTGCCCTGGCGGTGACGGCGGAGGTGGCGAGGGGACCAGGACTGCACATCTTCTGCAGACAGAGCCAGAGGCCCTGCTGACGGGCTGAGGCTACCACTGAACAGGACGACTGGGCAGCATCTCAAGACTTCACGCTGGTAACTTTGAAATGCCGAAGTGGAGAAGTTAAGTAAGCAGTTGGATGTGTGAATCTTAATTCAGAGAAGAGGTCAAAGTGGGAATTTCAAATTTGGAAGTCGTGAGCTTATAGAAGGTAATTAAAGAAAAGAGGAAGTTGGGGCCAGCAGATAGCGCAATGGTTAGGTTTCTGGACTCCCATACGGCTGACTGTGATCAAGTCTTGGACCCAGATGCTTGAAACTCATGCCAGGTGCATGTGTGTGCGTGCCCAAAATCCCACGCGAATGGAGAAGGGATTGCAGCATGGCCATCCCCCCTCATGGGTGAGTTCTTGCTTTCTGTCTCTCTGTCTCTCCAGCAAGCATATGCGTCCTATAGCAAAAATCTCTCTTTAAAAAATAAAAGAGAGAAAGTTGGTTATAAAGAATGGAAAGAGGGACCAGCAGTTGGCGTAATGGCTATGTCGCTGAACTCCCATGTAGCTGACCGTGGTTCGCGTCCTGGACCCGGTGGCTTAAAACTCACGCCGGGTGCGTGTGCATGCATGCTCAAGATCCCGAGAGGAGAATGGAGGAGAAGGGATTGCTGCGTGGCCATCCCCCCTGCGGGGTGACTTCTTGCTTTCTGTCTCTCTGTGTCTGTCTGGCGAGAGCACACGCCCTATAGCAAAAACCTCTCCAAAAAAAAAAAAAAAAAAAGAATGGAAATAGCTGATTATGTAGTGTTAATATATAGAATAAATAAAATAAAATTGTAACAGGACTAGTTTTCAAATTTAGCTCCAGTGCTGCCATCTTGTGGCCACTCAACTGTACTATCTTTAAATTGTTTAAGCCATTTTTTTAAAAAAGCAGATTGACAAAAATTCTAATTAATGGCTTATATGCTTTAAAAGTAACTACTGATATTAACAAACTTATAAAATAATCTTAAATATTTCTAACTGTGAAGAGACTGATAAGTGTTTATGTATATTTTAAAATATTTTAATATTTTAATGTCATCAAGGTAGAATGGAACAAGAATTTTCAAATGGAAAACATTAGAGATTTGAGGAAGTTGCTAGTGGTCTGAAGACACGAATCTTTCCCATATCTTGAATCGTCAACTTTCTAAAGCACCAAACGACAGTTCTACCAGGACCACACTTCAACAGCCTTCTTCTCTTAAAGGATAGGCTTCTTACCACAGTGGAGTGAAGGCCAATAACTGTGTTTTATGTTCACCTTTATTATTTAGAGATGGGACTAGATGCTGTAGGTGAAAAAAGCTGTTTACGAAAGTGAGACTCTTAAAATTTTAAAAGTTAATTTTGAATTCAAAGTTTTTTTCCTAAGAACTATAAAATTGAATTTTTTAAAAAAGGAATTACTGGGACCAGCAATTAGTGTAATGACTATGTCTCTGGACTCCCATGTAGGTGATCGCAGTTTGAGTCCTGGACCCGGTGGCTTAAACTCATGCCGGGCACCTGTGCGTGCGTGCCCAAGATCCCAGTAGAACATGGAGGAGAAGGGATTGCGGCGTGGCCATCCACCAGGGGGGTGATTTCTCGCTTTTTGTCTCTCTGTTTCTTGCTGTCTTTGTGGCGAGTGCATGATCCCTAGAGCAAAAACCTCTCCAAAAAAAGAAAAATAATAAAATAAAAAAGGAATTATTTGTAAGTCCTTAGCTTTAAAGTTCACTTCTGTTACAGAACGCTTGCTGAGACAAATTTAATCAGCTTTAGTTATACAGCATATAGTAGGTGCCCGAGGCGTTTTGAATAGCTATGCTTTGACTTTTGTGAGCTAGTAAAAAGTTTTCAGATTCAATGACTCCCGTGAATGAAACGTGACACCTATTAAAGTTCAGGTATAATCTGTGAAACACAAAGAAAATTTCGCTTTCAATGAACAGATGTCTAAATGAAGAGACACTATACATTTGCTAATTTTTTTGTGTCACTGGATCTGAATCTCAGGATTTTGAAAAATCTTTAGTCAAAAAAAAAAAAAAACAATACCAACTTCAAGACTCACTATGATATCCCAGAAGTCTCTTTTAGAAGGCCTTTATTTTTTGGTTTATAATGTTTTCTTTTCTTTGTTTTTAAAGTACAAGTGATCATTATACCAAAAACATATATATTCTTGGAAATACAGACTAACAGATTACTTCGTACAATACAGTAATCTGTTATCCTGCTATCCATAGTGAAGCAGTGTTGACAGTTCTGCTTACTACCCCAGGTTTTAAAATATACATACATTCTGCAAAAATAAAAATGAGGAGGACCAGCAGATGGTATAACGGCTACGTTACTGGACTCCCATGTAGTCAAGCACGGTTCGAGTCCCAAACCTGGTGGCTTAAACTCATGCCAGGCGCGTGTCCAAGATCCTGAGGGGAGAATTGAGAAGGGACTGAGGCGTGGCCATCCCCCCTGGGGGGCGATTTCTCACTTTCTGTCTCTCTGTCTCTGTCTTTCTGGCAAGTGCACACACCCAATAGCAAAAACCTCTCCCAAAAAATAAATAAATAAATAAACAAACAAAAACAAGGCATTTCTCAATTTTTTTTTTTTTGGTAACTTTTACTTTACAATCCATTTGGAATATTTTTTTTCCATGTAAAAAAATATAACTAGGACTGGCCCCATAACCTAGTAGTTAAGAAGCCTCGGCAGACAGAAAAACAAGCTGTGTGTGCACCTGTGCGTGAAATCCCAGTACAATGGGGAAATGAGGAGAAGAAACTGCGGCATGACCACACCCCTGCCCCCACTGGGCTGTGCTTTCTCGTTTCTCTTGTCTCTCTGGAGAGTCTGCGCACTCCATGCTAATTTCTTTTTTTGTTGTTGTTGTTGTTTTTTTTTGAGAGATTTTTGCTATAGGGCATGTGTACTCGCCAGAGAGACAGAAAGTGAGAAATCACTCCCCAGGGGGATGGCCACTCCCCAATCCCTTCCCTTCCATTCTTTTCTCGGGATCTTGGGCACGCACACACACACCTGGTGTGAGTTTTAAGCCACCAGATCCGAGACTCAAATTGCGGCTGACTATGTGGGAGTCCAGAGATGAAACTGTTACCCCATCTGCTGGGCCCCCCATGGAAATTTTTTAAAAAGGAAAACAAAACAAAACACCATTTTCTTTTTCTTTAGAGAGATTTTTGCTATAGGGTGAGTGCACTTGCCAGAGAGACAGAGAGACAGAAAGCGAGACATCACCCCTCAGTGGGGATGGACACGCCACAATCCCATCTACCCCATTCTCCTCTCGGGATTTTGGGCACACATGCACACAAGCCTGGCATGAGTTTGAAGCCTCCGGGTCTGGGACTTGAATTGCAGTCAACTATGTGGGAGTCCAGCAACATAACCATTATGCCTTCTGCTGGTCACCACATCATTTTTTTTTTTTTTAAATGTGCTACAGGGCACATGTGCTCACCTGAGAAAGAGAGAAAGAACAAAGAAAAGTGACAAATCACTCCCTAAAAGCCATGGTCACGCCATAATCCCTTCTCCCGCTCGCTGCTTCTTTTCAGGACTTTGGGCATGCACACACACACACCCGATGTGTTCTCCACGCTGTCATATCCGGGACTCCAACTGTGCAGTCAGCCATGTGGGATCCAGCTGCCTTAACCACCATGCCACTGG